AAGGTTGTTGTATTTGGAGGTGATTTTAGACAAGTACTTCCAGTTATTACTAATGCTGGTAGAGCAGAAATTGTTATGTCATCTCTAAATTCTTCATACCTTTGGGATCACTGCAAAGTTTTAAAGTTGACCAAGAACATGCGACTTCTAAACAACAGTTTAAGTGCTCAGGAAGCTAAAGAAATACAAGAATTCTCAGATTGGTTGTTGGCTGTTGGTGATGGTAGGATCAATGAGCCTAATGATGGTGAGGTTGTGATAGATATTCCTGAAGATTTGCTGATTACAGAAGCAGACAATCCAATAGAAGCAATTACTAGGGAAATTTATGGAGATCCAACTAAACTTCATGAAATCCGTGATCCTAAATTCTTTCAAATGAGAGCTATTTTAGCACCAAAGAATGATGATGTCAACACAATCAATCAGTATATGCTTGAGCATTTGGATAGTGAGTATACTTTAACTCTTACCTATTTACTTTCTTATTATATAGCTTTGTTGCTAAGTTGTTACTGTTGTAACTAATCATAACCCATTTATTCTACAGGTCCAGAAAGAATTTATCTATCTGCTGATAGTATAGATCCTTCAGATTCTGATGCTCTTAACAATCCTGTTATTACTCCAGATTTCTTAAACAGTATCAAGGTTTCAGGTTTGCCTAATCATTCTTTGCGTTTAAAGATTGGTGCTCCTGTTATGTTGCTTAGGAATATAGATCCTAAAGGAGGCCTTTGCAACGGGACTAGACTTCAGATTACGCAGCTATTAAATCAGATTGTGGAAGCAAGAGTTATAACAGGAGACAGGATTGGTGATATCGTTTTTATTCCTCTCATAAACATTACACCTTCAGACACCAAACTGCCATTCAAGATGCGTAGAAGACAGTTTCCACTATCTGTTGCATTTGCTATGACTATCAATAAGAGTCAGGGGCAATCTCTTGAACGAGTTGGACTTTACTTGCCTAAACCAGTCTTCTCTCATGGCCAACTATATGTTGCGTTGTCTAGAGTGACTTCTAAAAAAGGTTTGAGAATACTAATACTCAACAAAGAAGGGAAGATTGAGAAGAAAACAACGAATGTTGTTTTCAAGGAAGTTTTCCAAAACATTAACTGAACAATGTTATCTACAGAGAAATTCTGCAATGAGGTCAGTTGAATTACCTTTTACTTTTTATGATTTAAGTTATGGTCTGAAAAACCCCTACACACAATCATAATGCAACATATATTTCACTTTCTACTGTAGGAACCTCATATCTAATCAACCAGACAGCTTCAACATCAAAGATGCATTCATATCGGAAGTAAAATGTCAATTTCCTACTGAACTATTTGTGGAAGTCATTTGCATACTCTAAGTTCTGCATTTTCCTTTTAAAATAAAACAAAGAAACTCTTACCACCAAAAAATTGGTTGTGCTGGGACTAACCTTGCTTTCTGAGGTAGTTGTTGAATTCTCCTCTTTATATTTTTGGCTTCTGTGGACATCATCGTCAGAGATTGTGCTGGATTTTGGCTCAGTAACCTAGCATATTTCAAAAATAACTTAAAATTAATAGTTGCGATCACTTTTTTAGCTTATATCAGATTTTCAGAAACACATTATATTCTGCGTTTGTCACAACACAGTTGATTCATGCCTTTGTATAAACTACACGCAATTCTACCAATTATTCACCATCACTAATTACCTTTTAAACAAATCTTACGGAAAATGATGTTGCCTCAATCATCAATTTCAGATAAGCACAAACCTTTAGATTGCTCCGATTATGAATTGAACAATCGATTGAGTTTTCTCCTGTACTCCATTGCTTGATTACTCACTCGGATGATACCAGTCACTTACATGCAACCACTGAATTATACAGATTCTTCTCGCCGGAGACTTTTAACTTCTACAATCCAATCGGAATTTGAGAGACCTTATTTGCAATCCCATCCAAAAATCGACATCAATCCACACTGCCAAGACTTATTCAAAGTTTAGAAAAGCGCAGATGATGGTGAATTGAAGTTCTTTGATCGTCGGAATTGTTTTTTTACGTTATGTCACCGACAGACTCTAATCCGTTGACGGTACCAAATTTCTTCCTTTTTTGTTCTTTTTTTTTCCGACCAGATACAATAATATTACTTTAATTATTGTATATTAACTTTATTAAACTATAAATCTTACTAACTATAGGTTTTTAAAAAAAAAAATTACTCAGTATTACTAATTACTTAAAATAAATCCAAAACATTTTATCTTCTCATTTTACACTTTTAAAACTTTTATTCCCTTTTCACAAAATATATGTTCAAAAAAACTATAATTTGTTTTTTTCTAAAACGCAATATATTCAATTTACATCAAATACATTATCTTATTTGTGTAAATTTATAAAAGTGGAAATGGCATAATTTGAGTACAATTTAGTGATCTACTGGATATTTTTATACATCTATTTTAACTTACTGCAATTGAAATTTACTAATTCAACCATATATAGATATATACATCTCTAAATTTCAATATATACATATAAATTTATAAAAAAACATATATGTCAAATAAAATATATAAATTAATAATGAAGGAAATAATTAATAATATTTAGGCCCGCGGTGTACCGCGGGTTAACATCTAGTAATAATTATTTTGTTTGGTTAAAGAACCAGGCTATTTGACCAATTGACCAAATGATTTTTTTTTTTTGTCGTCTAAATTTATTATTAATTGCAAATTATGAGAACTGTTACATAGACGATTCTACAACTGACAATTCCTTTCGACCCTTACTAGATCTACGACAGACTACACTTTCTTTTTCGTGATCTTGATGAATACCTTCAATGATCCACGACCTGGCGACACTTCCTTCTCTGCGTAGAATCCTGGCGAACAGCTATAATTGTACATCGCTGGAGATCTCTTGCACACTTGCCTCCATTAATCTGCAAATTTGTTAATAAATCGCAATATCTGGGACTCGAACCCCAGACCTCTTGTTGTAGAAGTATTAATCAACCCTTGATCAACCAATAGGCCAAAGGGGCTTCTACTGACCAAATGATTATCATCCGTTTTTTAATTAATTCTCTTCTTTATAACTTGTCAATTAAAAAAAAAAACTTGTTATTTCCTTTTCATAAAAAATTTCATGCACAGACATAATTTACGTTGATTAAGATCCATGCAACGTACGTTCATAATATTATAATATATTTGCGTGTAAAGAATATTCATCAACTACTTCTTCACTTTGGTACTGTGCAAACAGTGCAATGACAATATGATCACATCGACCTTGAGCCGCCCATATGGGTCTGATACCGCGACTAGGGTCGTCCACTACGAATATAAAGTTTTCTCGAGATCTGACGCTGATTGATGGATTTTAAAAAATTAAATATGTCAATATAGGCTTTGATTGGTGAACAAAAATAAAGCTGTACAGCTTTATACAGATTTGACAGTTACCAATCACAAAAACTTTATGAAAAGCGGTATACTATAACATAAACAGTTTTTTTTGGACAAAAACAAAAACAAATTAAAACGGTTACGGTTAAATACGGTTATAACGGTTACGGTTAAATACGGTTACGGATAATTACGGTTATAGTTATTTAATGACTACAATACGGTTAATATCGGAGGCGAAATCTTACGAGTTACCTAACTTATTATAATACTTTTCATAAAATCAAAAAGTATGTTACAAACAAAATTTTCTTCATTTCGAGCAAAATAACAGTATAACATATTTGTTTGAGAAAAATACCATTTTTTATAATGTAGATTTTTTCATATGCAGTATCATTTACTTTTTTGAAAATCTTAATCTGAACATTCGATAATTGTTTTTGCATTATATGGAGTTACAATTATATTTTTAAAGTTTTAACTATGCGGTTAACCATATGGTTAAATAACGGTTTTCATATGTTTACCGTTAATTAACGGTTACGGTTAATATATTTTTTAACTGTAACTAATTAGTTTTTACGGTTAACGGTTACGGTTTTTAACCGTTTTATACGGTTACGGTTGAGAAACAGTCCGTAACCGTAACCGTATTTTGGATCGTAACTGGACCAAAAGCTAACTGTAACCGTATTTTGGATTATAACTGGACCGTTTTTCAACCGTAACTGTATAAAACGGTTAAAAACCATAACCATTCACCGTAAAACTAGATTAGTTACGGTTAAAAAAAATATACTAACTGTAACCGTTAATATACCGGAAACGTATCAAAACCGTTATTTAACCGTACGATTAGCCGCACGGTTAACCGTATTATTAACCGTATAATTAAACTTTATAAAATATAATTGTAACTATGTATAATGCAAAAAAAAAGTCTCGAATGTTCAGATAAAGATTTCCGAAAAAGTAAATAATATAGCCTATGAAAAAATATCATTAGAAATAATGGTTTTTTCTCAAAAAATTATTTTGGAATGTTATATTGCTCAAAATGAAAAAAAATTTTATTTATTATAGGACTAGTAAATTCATATTATTATTCTAACAATAAAATATTGTTCATTCTATATAATCTTAATTTTCATATGTAATTATATACTAAAGTACATTTCTATGTAATTTTTTTTTTTTCTAAATTCTTAATATTATTTATTATGTGTACTACTATGATGTTTCCAATCAGAGTAAATTTTTAAAATTTGTTCTGCATTATTTTTTGTACAGTTTTCGTGTTTTATTCTTTTGTACAGCTTTGCACTATTCCCTAACATTGTACAGCTTTGCACTATTCCCTAACAGCTAACAGCTCCAGCTAACCGCTCCAGCTAACAGCTAACAACTTGTTACCAAACAGACCCGTAATCTTCATAATCTTTAGTACGGGACTAATTAACTCCTTTTTTTTAATAATTCAACTACTTTTTTTTCAACTGCAGGTAGAAGTTCGGGATCAACGCGGTTTTTTATTCCCTTGTAATAACTAGTAAAATGTCCCGTTTCTCACCTTAAAAACTGAAGTTTCATGTTTGATCACATACACTGTGGTTAAAATAATATATCGAAAGTTAATTTTACAAATTGTTGTACCGTAAGGACTAGAAAAAAAAAAAAAAATTAATAACAAAAAGAGAAATTACAAATTATTGGATTTCTCTATAATTTAACACATCAGTCTCCATTTTAGCAAAAAAAAGATAAAAGAAAAAACACATCATGATGATCAAAAAGATAAGAAAGAAAAGATAAAAGAAAAAACACATCATGATCATCAGTCTCCACGCGCCTTTAGTCGCCCTCTCTGAATACATACGTTGAAAAGAATTCAACAAAGATGATCAAAAAGCTATAAAGTTAATTACTTTAATTAGAAACAAATTTTCTAATCATAAATCTTTATAATATCGTCAAAAAAAAAAAATCATAAACGACCTGTCTCTCTCTGTTTTGTATATATATATAGGTCTCCTCGTCGTCAGACACAAACATAAACTAGAGTTTCATAAAAAAACACATAAACCTGAGATCAGATTCAATCAAGAAACATAGATTCGATTCAAGAATCGAAAAAATGAAGTTTGGGAAAGAGTTCTCGTCTCAGATGGTGCCAGAGTGGCAACAAGCTTACATGGATTACGATTTTCTCAAAACTCTTCTCAAAGAAATCATCACATTCAAACGGAGAACCAACAATGCACCTCCTCACGGTGGTGCCAAGAACGGCGGAGGACTAAACCGGAAAATGACTCTGTACCGTGCGTTTAGCGGTTTAGTCTCAACACCGGGAAGGCATAAACGCAGTAATAATCCTCATGATGTTGAAGAAGGTGTACAGTTTACGGCGTCGACCACGTCAGGTCCGATTCTTGTGAACACAAACTCAACTCGCGGCTGTGAGACGACGTTTTTGATGGCCGCGGAAGAAGGAGGAGAGTACGAACTAGTGTTTTTCCGGCGACTGGATGATGAGTTCAATAAGGTTGAGAAGTTTTACAAAAAGAAAGTTGAAGAAGTTTTGAAAGAAGCGGCGATGCTTAACAAACAAATGGACGCTTTGATCGCGTTTCGTATTAAAGTTGAGAATCCAGATGGATGGCGATGGGAGGAACGGACGGTGGAGATGACTCGACTAGCTTCCGATATAGCTACTTCTGCGGCTGCTCTCTCTGCTTCTACTCCCGCCGGTGCTAAATCTAGTAAGCAATAATCAATACATATCTATCTACTCTTCACCTAACTCACCCACTTTTTGTAAAGAAAAAGGCAGGAATTTAAAATTTTGTCAAATTTATGTGTAGTTTGATCAAATTTGATAGTACCAAGTACCAACCAGAAAAGAAATTGATAATACCGAAACCGGATTAGAGTTGTTTCATTTTTTTTTCAGGCTTGAACAAGAAACAAAGTATTTTTTGATATTTTAAATTTTTGTTAGTGTTAAATATACTCACTAACAAGTGAACTGAGTTCATATTTTTGAATTTGAGTATTCCATGTACTTCCAATTCAACTGTTTTTTTTATTGTTTGAATTTAATGAATTCTCATAGAAGGGTAAATGATTTTTATATTTCAAAGTAAAAGATTTTAGTGTGGTTGGTATTTTCATTTCCACTTGAGTTATTATTTTATATTCATGTATATTAGATTTGTGCTCTTTTAAATAATTCTTTACTCTAATGGATAACATGTATAAACATTAACACGTATATTCATGTATATTAAGATTTTTGTGTAAATGATTTTTAAATAAGATCATTTTATACGGTACTGTACCAAAACCGGAATCGAATTGGTTAATTTCCGGTTCACTTAAATCACACGTTACCGTAGTTTTAACCAAACCGAAAATTTGAATCTGTAGTGAAAGTTCGAAGTCAAGAGCACATGGAAGCTATACAAGAAGGAGGCTCGAGCAGAGCTGGGCTAATGGAAGATGATGATGAAGACGAAGGAGAAGAAGAAAACGAAACCTCGGTGGTATCTACCGGAGCGATCGATAACGTAACTACGAGTAGGATGAGAGCAGCGAGACCATCACCGATCGATGTTCTTGATCGAGTCAAGATCAACAACACAAAAGAGACGCCTCGTTCCACCATTAAAGGAGTTCTCAAAGTATCAAAGCAGACTGAGTTAAAATTCAGCAGAGAGAATCTGATGAAAGTCGAAGAGAGTCTCAAACGCGCTTTCATCGAGTTTTATCAGAAGCTTAGGCTTCTCAAGAGCTATAGGTGCGTTATGGGTTTTAAAGTTTGAATTTTTTTTTATTATGATTGATGTGTTTTTGATTTTGATATTCGATTATGTTTGTTTATGCAGTTTTTTGAATGTGTTGGCGTTCTCGAAGATATTGAAGAAGTATGATAAGGTAAGATTTGAGATTTTTGATTAGATGGAAGGTTTTATATGTTTCAGAATGACTATAATGTCTTTTATAGATAACTTCGAGGGAAGCAACGAAGCCTTACATGAAAGTTGTTGATAGTTCATACTTGGGAAGCTCTGATGAGGTAAAGAGGTTTATGAGATTTTTCTTATTTGGATAAGTAACTTCAACAAATCCTCTGTTTTTTTATTAATGCTCTGTTATGACAGGTTATGAGACTCATGGAGCGTGTTGAAGCAACATTCATAAAGCATTTTGCTAACGCTAATCGTACAAAAGCGATGAATATTTTACGACCTCAAGCGAAACGAGAGAGACATAGAACTACATTTTCCACAGGTAAAAGATCAGTAACTTGCATAAATGGGGTTGTTAGTTTCAAACTTTGTGGTACTTATGAGGAAATTGGTTTCAGGTTTCTCGGCTGGATGCGTTTTTTCTCTTATAGTGGCTCTTATTGCGATCATCCGCACCCGAAATCTTTTGGAAAAGGAAGGCCAGAAGGAATACATGAATACTATGTTCCCTCTTTATAGGTAAGAACTTAGTAACTTGGCGTTCTTAAGAATTATATCGAGCTTTCGAGTTGGAATATAATGTTTAGAATGTTGTCTTTGTTTCTGTTTCTCGTAGCTTGTTCGGGTTTATCGTGCTGCATATCATCATGTATGCTGGTAATATATACTACTGGAGGCGATACCGAGTAAACTATTCCTTCATATTTGGGTTCAAGCAAGGAACTGAACTTGGATATAGACAAGTCCTGCTTGTGGGTTTCAGCATCGGAGTCTTTGCATTGCTTTGTGTTCTTGCCAATCTTGACATGGAGGCAGATTCCAAAACGAAAAAATATCAAGAAAAAACTGAACTTCTTCCTCTTATCCTACTTGCTGTACGTCCCAAAACCCATAAATTGGACTTTTCAACTAAAAAACAATGGCATAATAACTCTGTGATGTTTGTTTTCTACTTTTGCAGGCTATGTTCATTGTTCTAGTCCTGCCATTTAACTACTTTTACCGCTCGAGTCGCTTTTTCTTCCTCACTTGTCTGTTTCATTGCCTCGCCGCTCCTCTTTACAAGGTAAATCAGAGATGGAACAAGCTCATCATAAGAATGTTGTAAATTTTTATTCCAGTAGGTATTGACTGTCCAGTTTTTGCCTTTTCCCATGCAGGTTACATTGCCTGATTTCTTCTTGGGAGATCAGTTAACTAGCCAGGTTCAAGCAATTCGAAGCATCGAGTTCTATATATGTTACTATGGTTGGGGAGACTTCAGACACAGAAAAAGCACTTGCAAAGAATCTAGTGTCTACAACACTTTCTTCTTCATTGTTGCTGTCATCCCTTATGTCTCTCGCCTCCTTCAGGTACAGTACATAGTTACTTACTCCTCTCAAAAAGAATAATCCAACATCTAAGCAGTCCATAACGAAACCTGTTACTCATACAGTGTTTGCGACGGCTATTTGAGGAAAAAAATCCGGAACAAGGGTACAACGGACTCAAGTATTTCTTGACTATAGTGGCGGTATGCTTGAGAACGGCTTACAGTATCAACAAAGGTCAAGTAGCTTGGAGGGTTTTAGCCGCTGTCTTCTCATTTATAGCTGCAATATTCTGTACTTATTGGGACTTTGTCCATGATTGGGGTCTTCTAAACCGGACATCGAAAAACCGCTGGCTTCGAGATAAACTCCTCGTTCCTCAAAAGAAAGTATACTTCATCGCAATGGTGAGTCTCAGAAACACTTTTCATCAAATCAAAAATGTTTCACAGCAACTGATCTTAGAACATGTATCAGGTTTTGAATGTCCTGCTGAGATTTGCGTGGATCCAGACGGTTCTGGATTTCAACTTTTCCTTCATGCATAGACAAACGATGGTTACCATTGTCGCTAGTCTTGAGATCATTCGTCGTGGTATATGGAATTTCTTCAGGTGAAAAAAAACTTCAAAACTCACATTACCTGATTCTACAAGCTAATGTTGCACTAATATTCCAATTAGTAACACTCAGTTTTTGTTTGGATTGTGGATAACAGATTAGAGAACGAGCATTTGAACAATGTCGGTAAATACCGAGCCTTCAAGTCCGTCCCATTACCATTCAACTACGATGAAGATGACGATAAAGACAATTAGTAGTTTCAGAAGTCCTTCAAACTGTTTACATTGTCTCTTTTCTTTTTTGTTCTGTCAGATGAGAAATGTAGGAATTCGTGTAAAAAAAAAAACATATTCTTCAAAACTGTTATATGATTCTTTCTATTCAACTTTGCTCTTCGTACCTAATTTGTGAACCGTCTTTGATCCTAGTTTGCAATCAATCACACGTTGAACCAGAATAGTTGAAAGAATGTGTTGAACAAGACTGTCACACCCACCAATCATATCTTTCTTTTCAAAACATTAGCAAAAAAAAAAGCATGCAACCAGAAAATTAGGCAAAGACAATGTTGGTCTTTGAACGACAATTCAAAGCAAAGAAACTTGTGATCAAACCAATAAAATGATCAAAGCCAACAATCAATTCTCTTCCTAATCATCCCTAAGGTTGCTTCGGCGAGAAAAAGGCTTGGACCTCGTTCTCCATGTGTTCTTCAGCAGTTTTAACTACTGCGAAATATGGTTGATAATATTCAGAGTGAGCATCCAAACATTTGTCCAACTTGGCAGAGACTCCCGCACACTTAGTGATGAAATCTTGCTTGTTTTTCTCAGCTTCCTCACTACAATCAAGCCAAGCCATAAACGATTCTTTGCAACCACCTCCTTTCAGCATTGCTAACAACCTCTCTTCTTCCTTCATCAACAGTTCTAAAGCAGCATTTTCCGCCGCGAGAATCGGCTGATAGTAATCAGAATGAGCCTCCATACACTTGTCCAGCATCGGAAAACACTTACCGATACTTTCTTTCTTCTTCTCAGCTGTTTCTTCCACGCAATCTTGAAAAGCCGTATATGTTTCCTTGCATGGACCTTCTTTCATGAACACTTGTAATTGATCTCGCCAAAGACTTGACGAATCTACTACTTTCTCTGGCTGGACTTGTTTTTCTTTTTGAGATTTGGGATCGGAATTCTCCGGTCTCAGATCCGCGGATGACGTGATTCCCATGCCGTCAGAGATATAGGATCTAATGGAAATCGGCAATTCAAACTATGAATTTTTTTAAGTCACAAAGACGATAGATTGAAATAATTTTCAGATTATTATTATACAATTACCAAGAGATAACGATTACCCCTAGTTATTGCAAGGGATTACACGGACTAGGTCTTCATATTTGATAATTACAATTTTAGCCTTTACATAATATTAAGCGGAGGAGCTATTATAAGTTTATAACTCTTTTTTTTTTTTTTGTCATCTGTTTTGATTTGTTTTGATTGATAAAGCAAAGAATTGATACATTGTAGAATTACATATGCCGGCGGAAAAACTGGATTTCCCCGGAAACTAAGCCCAAACGAGGGAAACAAAGCCCTAAATTATAGGGAAACTAAAGACCCAAAGGAAAGGGCAGCAAATGCACGAAACGAAAGATAAAACAAAGCCTATTGAGATAGTGTAACATGGTTGTGGTCGATTTGGTTTGATAATTAAAGAAACACAGGTATTTACTATTTACAATAACAACCCACAAAAAGCGGAAATAAATGAGCAGCTCTAACGAGAATCCGGACAATTTAAACCTATCAAATTTGTTTTTAAGAAAATGAAGAAACTGGCTGACTCAAAAATAGACTACAAAAGGGTTTAAACCTATTCTACGAATTTTGACGGGGTTAAGGCTCATCCAAGGCCGAGTTTTAGATGGGCCGGATCGGACTGGACCAAAAACCTCTTCTTAACATCCTATTCATAAGTACAACTGACACAGCCAATCTTACCACAGTATTTCATTTTCTTCATACCTCTTAGAGAGGTGAAGAGAACTAGAGAAATTGTATGCATATATATATATAGGCCGGGAACTTCTGTTTTTCGGTCTCTGTTTACCTTGTAAAGAGGAGCACCGAGGCAATGAAACAGACACGTGAAGAAGAAAAAGCGACTTGAGCGGTCAAAGAAGTTGAATGGCAGGACTATCACCATGAACATAGCCTGCACAAGTAGAAAAACAAACATCAGAGAGTTATTATGCCATTGGTTTTTGGTCCAATTTTCAGGTTTTGGGACATACAACAAGTAGGATAAGAGGAAGAAGTTCGGTTATTGCTTGATAGCCTTTCGTTTTGGGATCTGCCTCCATGTCAAGATTTGCAAGAACATAGAGCAATGCAAAGACTCCAATGCTGAAACCCACAAGGCCACAAGCAAGACTTGTCTGTATCCAAGTTCAGTTCCTAGCTTGAAGCCAAATATGACGGAATAGTTTACTCAGTATCATCTCTAGTAGTATATATTAGCAGCATAGATGATGATGCACAGTAAACGTGAACAAGCTGCAAGAAACAGCGAAGAAGACAACCCTCTAAACAATACATTCCAACTCGAATGCTCGATATTAATTCTTAAGAAGAAAAGCCAAGGTACTAAGTTTCTTACCTATAAAAAGAAAGGCCATAGTATTAATTCTGGCCTTTCATTTCCAAGAGATTTCGGGTGCGGATGATCGCGGCAAGAGCCACTATAAGAGAAAAAACGCATCCAGCCGAGAAACCTGAAACCAATTTCCTCATAAGCACCACAAATTTTGAAATTAACAACCCCATTTATGCAAGTTACTGATCTTTTACCTGTGGAGAATGTAACTCAATGTCTATCTGGTTTCGCTGTAGGTCGTAAAATGTTCATTGCTTTTGTACGATTAGCGTTAGCAAAATGTTTTATGAATGTTGCTTCAACGCGCTCCATGAGTCTCATAACCTGCCATTACAGAGGATCAATACGAGATTGAATATTGAAAAACAGAGGAATTGGATCAAAAGTAAGAAAATTTTCATAAACCTCTTGACCTGATCAGAGCTTCCTAAGTATGAACTATCAACCATTTTCATGTACGGCTGCGTTGCATCCCTCGAAGTTATCTATAAAAAGACATTTCGTCGAACACATGAGGCCTCAGACAGGGAGACCTATTTGTCATTGCCATGAATTGCCTATCATTCCTCCTAGGCCTGGGCGTTCGGATATTCGGGTCGGGTTCGGGTCGGGTTTTTCGGGTATAGAAAACTAAGACCCGTTCGGGTATTTTAAAACTTCGGGTTCGGGTCGGGTTCGGATCGGATATTTCGGGTTCGGATTCGATTCTTTGCAAAGTATTGAAAAATACTCAAAAATCTATAAAACTCAAGTATTTTTTAACCGAATCTAGCCAAAAGTAACTAAAACACCCAAAAATTCTTAACATCCAAATAATTTAGGCACTTAAGTTTTTACAAGTATAAATATTACTAATGTATTATAACTATGTACTTATATTTCGGGTATGTTCGGGTACTTGTTCGTGTTAGGGTTCGGATCGGGTTCAGGTTCGGATTTTCGGGTTGTGAAGTTTAGAACCCGTTCGGGTATTTTAAAACTTCGGGTTCGGATTCGGATCGGGTTTTTCGGGTCGGGTTCGGTTCGGTTCTTCGGATTCGGGTAATATGCCCAGGCCTAATTCCTCCTAAACCTAGCAGCAGATGAAGGGAAATTCAATTACCATCACAAGTCTGAATCCACAAAACTTACACATTTATGTTTGAGCCCTCCAGTCTTGGGGATACAAACCTGCTCCAACTTTGGTACACTACAGCCGAACGATTCTCTTGCCTTTGTCGGCAAAAACTTCTCTTCTTGGTTCAATTGGATCCCTTTATCTGAGATGTTTATGGCTTATACCTTTTTAATGGGCTTGACCCATAAACAATTTTAATTGAAAGCTCATGTCAACAAGACAACAATTGTTTTTTTCTTCTTCGCATTTTAATTGAAAGCTCTTTAACAGAAAAAGAAAGAAGAAGATATACTTGGGGTTATCTGTAAAATCAACACTATTATTAGTAATTCTATCTCTAATCCACAGATGTGGAGTCAATTCTCAACTTCGAAACAAATACCTCTAGTTGAGAAGTTGAGAACATGAATGTAATTTACTTGTACTGTGTTTGCAGCTACTTAGCACTCATTTCTTGCTCATCTTTACAAGATAAGTTTTGGAAGAAGAAAATTGTGATCCTAGGTTAGAAATGGCTTTCAATGTAAGGATTGGTGAGAAGAAATTATAGGGTGCTTCAGCAAATTGACGAAATCATCAAGGATATATAAAGAACTTGTGTTTTACACTCTATAGAGTATTACCAAGAGACGACAAGACTCAAAAATCTTGGTTTTGTTATCATCTTCTTTTAGTAACATCTAATTAAAGTTGCGTAACAGAAAAGTTTCAATGGGATGAGAGAAGAAGAGACAAATATGAAAACTAAAATCAACCAGAGCACAAAGAAAAACCGATAGGCTATGTTCAACGTCTCTTTAAGACTTGTTCAGCTAGCGTTGGGTGGTGACGTGGGAATGCTCTCTGGATTCGTTCTTCAATAGTAGGTTCCATATGACTCTGAATTTGTCTCTGACGATCCGTCAATATGATACGGTTAGGTTCTTGATCCTTCTGCTCGTAGGTCTTGGGAATCCGTGCGTCCTTTGGAGTGGTGAAGATTTTTGAGGCTATCTCTGTTAAGATCCTTCCAACACTACCACCACCACCCTTCGGAGGAGTGATCCCACAAAGAAGCACGTACTATAAAAAAAAAAAAAAAATTGATGAGCACAAAGATCCCAAGAAACTGAACCATCAATCTGCACCAAATCAACCATCGCACGAAGATTCCAAGATCAATACGCACCAAATCAACCATCGCACAAAGATCTCAAGAAACTAAATCAATAATCCAAAACCAAGATCCCGAACTTCACAATGATTAAACCACAACTCTGATCAGAGACTTACGAACTTCACAAAGATTAAACCAAAACTCTGATCAGAGACTTACGAACTTCACAAAGATTACACCAAAACTCTGATCAGAGACTTACGAACTTCACAAAGATTAAACCAAAACTCTGATCAGAGACTTATGATCTTCACAAAGATTACACCAAAACTCTGATCAGAGACTTACGATTTTCACGGTCCAGTCTTCTTGGCTCGCCATGATCGATGATGCTTCGAGAGTGATTTGTTTTCTTATTTACGAGAAGTTCTGTGAGTTTTTGAGAGGGAAGGTGCAAATTTATGCTTTAGAGTCGTTTATATAGCTAGCCTTTGGAGGGAATTAGTTTCTTCTCACGCAAATTAACACATGCATACGCAGCACCGGCTTTATATTGTTTATAGATTTATTTTCATAAAATCTCAATTTATAAAATTGATGAAAAGAAATTACAACGAAATGATTTAAAAAAGGAAGTGTTATATACTATTATGCCTGAACAAATAAACCAATGCACTGGACAGATATTTCGATTTATACGTTTTTAAAAAATCTTTTTCTTCTTCTCACAATTACGTATATATAAATAAATTTTAAGAACCTATTATGTATAATTATGAATTTCTTTCATTAAAATATATGAAAGTAATAAAAATACGTATTAAATATGAAAAATAGAGAGAGTAAAAAATTAAACATAACATTACATTTTAAAATAAAATTATATAGAATATTGTAATAACTGAAGTACAATGAAACGTAACTGACTGAATGAGGAAACAAGATTTATTTTATGCCAAACAATATACAGGATAAATTTCATAAAATTATACTAACTATTTTTCTATTTCTATAACAAAAATACACACAAACTTTTTGCAATTATCCAGAAAAATACTATTTTTATTTTATTCTTCAATACTCAATCTGAAACGTGCATCTATTTTATGTCACACTTTGATGACGATATTTACGATTTTTAATTTAATTAACCGTATAGATTGTATTAACTGAAGATATGGTTTAGATTTTGGATATTATAATGAGTAAAAGAAATAGTTAATGTATCTTTTTGAATACACAAATAAAATGTGTATTTTCATTATATATATACTAGGATCGGACCCGTGGTCCACTGCGGGAGAATATTGATTTACATACGTTGATTTTAATATTGTGCATGTTTTTAATAGAACGAATTGTGTAGTGTACTTATAAATATTCCTAATAACAAATTGTAAAGAAAATATTAAATTGTTTATAATTAAACCAATCATATTAATTATGATTTACAAAATGGAATTTTGTGTTTTAGAATTCAAAAATTAGACGAATCATGAGAATTAAAGCAGACAAAATAGGTCCAAAACCGCGGGTCGAGCCCAAATCATCTCACTATTGAGCAGATTTGGGAAAATATATTAAACCCGCAAATAAGCGGGCCACATGGATTGATTTGCAGTGGGTCATCGGTTTTCATCCGCGGGTTGGCGGATCAACCCGCATGATAGTATTTATTGATAAAAATATAATTTATTCAACATGTGGTAGTTTAAAAAACTTTTAATAAATGAAATTATAATATTTATAAATATAATGATACATAAGATTATAATCTCTAAATTTTTTCTAATTTATTTATTTCTTTAAATTTTGGTTACTCTAAAATTATTTAAACAAAATCCACGGATAACCCCGCAAATCAGCATACATTCGCGCGACGGGTTTGTGTTTCATATATGCTACCCGCGGGTCGTGCGGACAGACTAACTACATGCCAAAATATATTTTGCTTATTGCAAAACAGGCTTAACGGGATGAATCAACTCGTTTTGACAGCTCTAATGGAAATATTATTTAGTCATACAACACAATGGAGTTTGGACATAAGAATAATAGAATATGTATCTTATTGTTAGATGAGAGATTGAAAGGTGAAATATAATGATTAAAAAATAATTAATATTTTTCATGATTCACAAAATTTAATAAATATTTGTCATCTTGTTGAATAATTCTAAAAATCATATTTAAGAAATCTTTATAATTTGAAAATTAAATTTCTTTGGTAAGCTATAAGTATGAAAATACCATAATTTCGATTTAATCTAATTAAATTAAAATTAGTTACATATATTTCATATCTATTTAATTTACATGACCAAAATAAATAAAAAATCTATTTAATTTATAAAATAAATGGGATAGTTGTGATAAATTTTCTAGAAATCTCTAGAAGCAAGTAAGATATCTTTTAATTAATGATAACTGGCTAAAATAAGCAAAATTAATGTGAAAAACGTTGATTATTATAGAATTAGTTCCAAAAGTATAGGAACAAATATATTATACGTAATTAATGTATAATATTGTTTGGAATATGATTTTATAATTAGTTACCATAAGTACAATAAAATTTTATTTGATTTCCATAAACATTTGATTTTAGTTCGATTTTTCATTATTAATTCGAATTTATATTCCAAAAAAATTTCAAAGATCCGATTTCAGAATTTCGGGTCAATTTTCTGATTTTGACCCGACCCATTTACATTTGTACTTCTCTTTTAATAGTATAGATATATATATATATATATATATATATATATATATTTGTTGTGTTTCTATAATAAAATATTTCCAAAATAAAAGCATAGAAAAAGTAACTATTGTCCAAAAAAAAAAGGTAAATGATCCGAAGATCGAAGAAATTAATAAAAATATGAGAAAAAGGTCGGATTGGATTATTTCTGTTTCAGAAGCAACAAATCTCATTCAAATGAAGAAATAACTTAGCAAACCACAAAGATGACAAAGTAATAATAGCCTTTAGAGAAAATTATCGCAACAGAAACATTAATGGGGATCAGCAAAGTATTAAAGTGATGACCTTTAAGAGTAGACTCCCTCTCGAATCATAGAAAAAGAAGGAACATTTATTCATATGATCTCAAATCAATCAATCAACTTATTCGCACACAAAATGGCAGATTAATTAGAGAATAAACTTGACCATCAATGGTCGATCTTATAGGTTACGAATTTAACAACGAAATTTCCTCTGTTCCTAGAGAACAACTTATCCCCAAATTCCAATATTTTGATATTCCCATAAACAAGAAACCCTTAAATGTTTACCTAAATCCTCGAGGAATTTGAGCTTGCTTGCAACGCAAGGCTTTTATATTAGAGAGAAAATGAAATGTACCGAAGAGAAAGGCAAATATAGACTAAAAGTGCAGTACAAAAGGTAAATTTCCAAGAAAAGAAGAAGAAGAAATTTCCAAATATAGTTTGGACAGAATGTCTTATGGTTGATGAGCCTTTAGTGTACCTCATTGATGTGCTCATAGACGAGCTAAACAAGATGATGGTAATCTATCATTGCTCCATGCATGGACAAAGAACTAAGCAAATGCCTCGAATCAATAGAAGAATAAACCTCCATTTGGATTATGATAATCAAAGCCAACAATGTCAGTCATTTCATTTTTACATTCTTAGCAAAAAAAAAATGTCAGTCATTTCGAGGAAACTTTATCCAAACTAAATCTTGTTGATATTGAATTGAAAAGGGACAACAAATGCTAGTGTATCTTAGTACAATGTGAAACAAGTCATCAAACAACAAAGAAGTAAAACTTTTCAACTTGATCTTCAGACAAACTAGAAATGCATGAACCAGAAGCAATCACTAGAAAAAGATTCTGTATCAGAAACAACAAATCACATTCACGTGAAGAAATAGCTAATTAAAGAAACCACAAACAAACACAAAAACCCTCTTATAGATCAAATTACCTATCGAATCATATACAAAAGGAAAGAGTAGTCATTCAAATGGAAACATTACCAATTGATATTCCTTGTAAACAAAGAAACCATTAAAAAAAGAGAGAGCCTAAATCCTCTTAATTAATCATCCCTCAGCTCGAGAAAGGCTTGAAGCTCCTTCTCCATGTGTTCTTCAGCAGTTTTCTTGGCCGCAAGAAAGGGACGATAGTAATCAGGATGAGCATCCATACATTTGGTCATCATCGAAAAAAACTCCCACACACTTAGGGACCATATCTTCCTTGTTCTTGTTAGCTTCATCAAAGCAATCTTCCCAAGCAGTAAATGGTTCCTTGCAACCACCTCCTCTCATGAACGCTAAAAACACCTCTTCTCTCTCTTCTTCTTCCTTTAATTCATTTGGGGATACGGATTCCCTTGGATCTCGCCAAACAGTTGACGACATGAAATCCTTCATCAGTAGTTTTACAGCAGTTTTCTTGGCATCGAGAAAGGGATGATAGTAATCAGAATGTCTCTCCATACACTTCTCCAACATCGGATAACACAAAGAGATAGGTTCCTTTTTCTTCTTCTCAGCTTCTTCCACGCAATCTTTAAAAGCCGTATATGTTTCCTTGCATGCACCTTCTTTCATAAAAACTTGTAATCGATCTTGCCAAAGACTTGACGAATCTCCTACTTTCTCTGGCTGGACTTGGTTTTTTTGACATTTGGGATCGGAATTCTCCGGTTTCAGATCCGTGGATGACGTTATCCCCATGCCGTGAGCTAGAGAGATCAGATCTTTTGGACGATATGTTGAAATAATTTTCTGAATGATACAATTTAGAGATAACGATTTACCCTACAATTAATCAGTGATTATTACTTCATTAGGTCAAAGAATTACAATATATGTAGGGATTTGATAATTACAATTTTTTCTAAATATTTGATAATTACAATTTCTTTACATATTATTTTGTTTTTTTTTTCCTAGAATGAGAATTGCTCTTCATACTAGTTTGCAACCAAAAATACACGTTGAACGAGAATAGTTGAAAAAGACTTTTGTCACACCGATCATATATCTTTTCGAAACATACTAACAAGACAAAATTTGAGATTCATGCAACTTGAAAATCATGCAGAGACAATTGTAGCCTTTGAACTGTGTCATTAAAAAGCAAAAAAAACATCAGATCCAACCCTATAAATGATCAAAGCCAAAACAGTCATTCTTGGCAGCTAACAACTAAGCTCTTTTTAAACATGATTGTCGAAAGCATATAATAGCATGATTAACAAGGTAAGCAAAGAATCATATGGTCATGTATGGAGGCTGATAACAGAGATGAAGTTGTGTAATGTTTCATATCTCCCTCCCTACAAATTAGAAACACGACATACATACCAGGATTTGTAAAGATTTTCATCTTCGAGGAGATTTCAACCAAACAGAATGTCAACGATAATGAATGAAAGTGGGGAAACAATGGCTAGTGTATCTTAAGAACAAAGTGAAACAACAAATAAGTAAACTTGATCTTCAGCCAAACTAAAAAGTGCTGGAACCAGAAGCTATCACTACAAAAGGTCTGAACTTTTCTGATTCAGAAGCAACAAATATCATTCAAATGAAGAAATAGCTTAGCAAACCAAGACAATATTTCTCCACTGAAACATTCATGGGTTTCAACAAAGTAATGACCTTTAGAGCTCAATCATATGGTCATGTATGAAAGCTGATAACAGAGATGAAGTTCTGCAAATGTTTCATATCTCCCTATAAATGAGAAACACGACACACATACCAGGCAAAACTGAGATTTGTAAATATTTTCATCTTCGACCAAACAAAACGTCATCGATAATGAATGACAAGTGGGAAGACAAATGCTAGTGTATTAAGCACAAAGTAAAACAACAAAGAAGTAAACTTGATCTTTGGACAAACTAGAAAGTGCTGCTATCACAACAAAAGGTCTGGCCTTTTCTGTTTCAGAAGCAACAAATCTCATTCAAATGAAGAAATAGCTTAGCAAACCACAAAGAAAACAAGATTTCTTCACTGAAACATTCATGGGTATCAACAAAGTAATAACCTTTAGAGCAAATTATCTATTGAATCAACAGAAACAGTCTTGGGGATCAACAAAGTACTGACCTTTAAGAGCAAATTTTCTCTTAATCATTCAAATGATCTCAATCAATCAACTTATTCGCACACAAAAATGATCGATCATATAAGTTACGAATCTAAAAACGAAATTTCCTCTGCTCCTAAAGAACAATTTCTCCCAAATTCCAATATTTTGATATTCCCATGGAACAAGAAACCATGAAAAATTTACCTAAATCCTCTCAATCAAATCACCCTTGAGCTTGCTTCTTCGCAGCCACTTCCTCTTCCGAGATCTTCTCTTCTTCTTCCTTCTTCTTCTCAGCTTTCTCTTCTTCTTCCTTCTTCTTCTCAGCTTCAAGCTCCTTCTTAACCTCTGCTTCAGCAGCTTTCTCCGCAGCGAGAATCGGCTGATAGTAATCCGAATGTTCATCCATACACTTCTTCAACATCGAAGTGACTTCCATACAATTAGTAACAATATCTTCCTTGTTCTTCTCAGCTTTCTCAACACACTCTTCCCAAGCAATAAACGAATCTTTGCAACCACCTCCTTTCATAAACAAGCAAAACCCACACTCTCCTTCTTCTTCACCATCTGCGTCTCCTCCTCCTCCTTCTTGTGGTTGATCCGATTCGGAATCTACTGGATCTCTCCAAACAGTTGATGAATCTCCAAGTTTCTCCGACGGAGACGAATCTTCGAGTTCCTCAGATGGAGCTGGAGCTGGAGCTTCTTCGTTGTTTTGAGATTTGGGGTCGGGAAAAGTCTCTGTTTTTGGATCTGTGGATGATGCAATTCCCATTTTTTCTCAGGCGTGAGTGAGATCTGATCTTATGGAAATCGGAGAATTCAGGTTTAAGGTTCTCTCGGTGCCGCCGCCGACTCTTACAAGCCAGAGAGATTTGTGTAATCGAAACGTCTTTATGTTAAAACCCCTCAAAAACCTTTTTATGGAACCGGGTTTTCATAACCGGATTTATGGACCAAACCGAACTGAAACCTTTGTTAAACCGTTGAGAGTTGAACCAAAATGAATATGATTCACACAAAGTCACAACAACAAAAGAATAATCTGTCCACAAGACATTTCAAGAATGATACATTGACAAATAGTGTATTGTTAAGACTTCGACATCAATGTTTGTTGCTAAATTAAACATAACTTGATTATTCATATAAATCGAATACCGACACCAACACCATTTGTTTTTATAGTAATAAAAGGAAGATGATTATAGGAAGTAATCATTAGATTAATATTTTAGAGTCTCTTTCAGAGTTCGTCAATTTTCACAGGGAGACAAGTTTCTTTGACTTGGTCACTATAAGAGTTGTAAACTCTTTGATAACTCTTCATAATAATTGAATACAGCAATTATTTCAAGTCTCCGGTGAAGTTTTTCTGGGCTCTAAGTATGAAGACAAAGCTCATGATAACAATCTTCACTTGCTTACTACTTTGGTCGGTGATGTTGTTACTATCATTCTCCAACATCTTCAAACGCCAGCTTCTTGGTGCTACAATCAATGGTAAAATCATTCATCTTTTCGGTTTCTTATTCAGAAATGTTCCTTTTGACTTATTTTTTTCGTTTTCTTGCAGTAGGTTCAAAGGATTCTGTAAAACCGAGGGATAAACTGTTTGGAGGTCTTTTAACCGCTGATTTCGATGAAGATTCTTGCTTGAGTAGGTATCAGTCTTCCTTGTATCGCAAGCCTTCGCCTTACAGAACTTCTGAATATCTAGTCTCTAAGCTTAGAGACTATGAGCTACTTCACAAGCGTTGCGGTCCAGGCACTGATGCTTACAAGAAAGCAACAGAGAAGCTTGGTCATGATCATGAGAATGTTGGAGATAGCTCTGCTGGTGAATGCAAATACATTGTGTGGGTGGCTGTTTATGGGCTTGGAAACAGAATACTCACTCTTGCTTCTGTGTTTCTCTATGCTCTCTTGACAGAGAGAATCATTCTTGTGGACCAACGCAAGGATATTAGTGATCTCTTCTGTGAGCCTTTTCCGGGTACTTCCTGGTTACTTCCTCTTGATTTTCCATTGATGGGTCAGATAGATAGTTTCAACCGGGAATACTCGCATTGTTACGGAACAATGTTGAAGAATCATACCATTAACTCGACTACAATCCCATCACATCTTTATCTTCATCTTCTCCATGATTACAGGGATCAGGACAAGATGTTCTTCTGCCAAAAGGATCAATCTTTAGTCGACAAAGTCCCTTGGCTGGTTGTCAAATCCAACCTTTACTTTATTCCATCTCTATGGCTGAATCCTAGTTTCCAAACCGAACTCATCAAGCTATTCCCGCAGAAAGACACCGTCTTCTACCACCTGGCACGCTATCTTTTTCACCCGACAAACCAAGTCTGGGGTATGGTCACCAGATCCTACAATGCATACTTATCAAGAGCAGACGAGATACTCGGGATTCAAATACGGGTTTTCAGCAGACAAACTAAATATTTCCAGCACGTAATGAACCAGATCGTAGCCTGTACACAAAGAGAGAAACTGTTACCTGAAGCAGCTACGCAAGGAGAATCACAAGTCACTAATACATCAAATCCTCCCAAACTTAAAGCTGTCCTGGTCACATCTCTGAATCCAGAATACTCTAATAACCTAAAGAACATGTATTGGGAACGCCCAACTACAACAGGAGACATAGTAAAAGTTTATCAGCCAAGTAGGAAAAAACGGTCTATTTCCCCACGAGAACTATCGCATCACGACAGATAGAGCCCAAAGTATGACCCCGATCTATATATCTCTGAAACAAAAGTTATAAACCTAAATCTCCCCGACACAAAAGTTTTGTATCTAAATCTCCCCGAATTAATAGTTCTAGATCTATTAAACCATAATCCTGGGTTTCGTCGGTTTATTTTATATTTAACCGATTATTACAAAAATTAAACCCAATTAAACCAGAGAAAACCAAATTTCTCAAATACATTATCTCCTTCCTCTCTCTCACGCCTTTCTCTCTCTCTTTTGCTTCATCTTTCTTCTAAAATGGTGAGAATCATAAAACCCATCACGTATTCTCTCATATTTGTCAAAGATTTTTGTTGAATTCTTAATTCTAATGCTTCTTCTTCTCAAACTTTCTTCCTTTTACCCTTTCAAAAAAGTATGACTTCGATGCCTTACGTGACTTCATAGCCAATCACAAACAAAAACCCGGTGGGTGAATCAATTTTTCTTCTACTGATTGCTGCAATTTGACCGGAATCACCTGCAATTTAACCTCTATCAATCCAGACACCGGAAGGGTTACTAAATTGGAGCTCGTGAACAAATAGTTGTCGGAGAAATTGACTGAATCTCTCAAGAAGCTAGTTGAGATTAGGTTCTTAATCGGTCTCAGAATTTCATCAAAGACTCGATCCCAGTTCCGATTTTCAACTTGGTGAATCTACAGACTCTTGATTTGAGTTCTAATGATCTCTCCGGCGAAATCCAAAGAAGTATAACTCTCCCAGCTTTGCAAAGTCTTGATCTTTCCTCCAATAAAACCAGAGTTCTCAACTTTTTTTTTTTGTTTCTCTAGCATATAATCTTTGAATTTCTGTTAAAATTGATGTTTTTATGTGTTTACCGGTGATTGGAATCGGAGAATTATCGATTCCATGTTTATCAAGTTTCAAAGACGAGAAGCTATACCAGAAACCTTCGTAGACGGAACTGTTCAATGGAGCGAATTGAAGTACGATTGGTGGGGTTTCCTTCTCAGCCAATGCCCCGATCTTACTCTCTGTGTGCAATTCTCTGGGAAGAGAGAGATATTAAGAAAATTTGGTTTTCTTTGGTTTAATTGGGTTTAGTTTTTCAATAATTGGTTAAATATAAAATAAACCAACGAAACCCAGGATTATGGTTTAATAGATCTAGAACTATTAATTCGGGGAGATTTAGATACAGAACTTTTGTGTCGGGGAGAAATAGGTATAGAACTTTTCTTTCAGAGATATATAGATCGGGGTCATACTTTGGGCTCTATCTATCGTGATGCGATAGTTCTCGTGGGGAAATAGACCGTTTTTCCGCCAAGTAGAGAAAGGTTTCAGCAAACAGACAAGAAGCTTCACGACCAAAAGGCACTCGCAGAGATGTACCTCCTAAGCCTAACTGATAAACTAATCACAAGCTCTTCGTCAACATTTGGATATGTAGCTCAAGGTCTTGGAGGGTTAAAGCCATGGATACTCTACACACCAAAGAAGTTCAAAACTCCTAATCCACCATGTGGTCGCGGTGTATCCATGGAGCCTTGTTTCCTAACCCCTCCAGCTCGTGGATGCGAAGCCAAAAAGGGAATTAACACAGCAAAAATCGTTCCTTTTGTAAGACATTGTGAAGATCGACATTATGGGCTTAAGCTAGTTGATGATACCAAAGATGAGTTATAGATTTTACAAATTGAAACAGAGCATCTTTCGATGAATTCTGATTGTATGTATTATGTAACTATGTAAAGGCAAATGTATACAGCAGTCAGCAGATGTCTTAAAAATCGAAACTTTAAATTGTCAACCATTCGAGTAATGTTGTTACTTACTCGATCCAAAGGCAATGTTCTAATACATGGCTACTGAAATTTCAACAGAACAAGAACTACTCTGTCGGAATTGTGAGCTCATGTCGATGTTCTTCAAAACTCAAGCACTCTCCTAATTTGGAAAAGAGGAGAGAGAGCGAAGCGATTGCAGATTTTGTTTTTCGCAGACACTTCTTACAGTGATTTTGAAATCTAATTTTTTTTTTTTTTTTATGAATTTTGAATATTATTCTTTTTTTGGTTAATATCATGTGTGATTTTCTAAAATCACAAAAGTGAGAATTATAAAGCTGGGATTTAACTTTTTAACATGTGTCAGAAATGAAATCTAAAATTTTAGTTCAGATTTTAAATATTCCATATATTAAAAAAAATCTGAAAATAATAATAAAATTATTTTTCCTATAGAATAGTCAATGTTACCTTACCTATTAAAAGGTTAATACATATCAGAAAATTAAATGCTAAAGATTATTTTCCAAGTAAATTTAACCATTAAGCTTTCTTTGGAAAACCAAATAATATTACTTATGACATTTGACCTAAATATATATACATTAAACAAATATGGAAATAATCATAAAGACATAAATCTTTTCACCTTTTTTTCTAGAAACAGTCAATATTAAATGCGTGCATATTAACTTCTGACTACGAACGTTTTAGCATTAATCTCTCTTTGTTGAAAAAAACCAACAACAAAAATCCTCTCTGTTCTTCTTTTGTAATTTTATTTTGATCACCTTCTTGTTCTTCTTTGTTTCGAATTTTTATTGGCTTTTTTATGCTTTTCTTTCGTCTTTGTTCAATTTGATTTCTTTGAATCATTTTTTTCATGACTATTTCTTCTTAAGTTATATGTGTTTTCACTAATAATAAAAAATTGTTTTTAGTTTTGATTAACATTATGGACACCAAAAAACAATCCGATCCATATGTTCGAGAACAAACATGTTGTCAAAGATCAATTCAACCACCAACATATCAATGCAAGGTACGTTATGAGTTTCTATATGAACTTTATAAATTTATATTTGTTATCTGTTCATATTTAAGTACACAATCAATATATAATATAAATATATACATACTCAAAATATGAATAAAAATTCATATTATAAAAATAATAATCTCAGTTCAGAGGTCTTAATATGATAATTTCATTAGAGATCTTAACATATATTTTCATGGAACCATTCATACCCCTAAAAATCCCTGTCGGCTATTAGTGATGTGGATTTAGTTCTTTGGTTTAATCTGTTTTAATCACTGATTTCGGTTGGTTTAGTGAAAAGACCAGGATAGGCTTTTATCTCTTAATTTTGGGCTTAGTAGTTAAAGGCCCATGAGTTCTGTCTGATTTTCTCTTTCAAACCGTTGGAAACAGAGTAGGCCTAAAACAGAGTAACGAG